TGTCCTGTCCCTCTAGTTCCTAACACAGATCCCTCTGCAGCTTCCCTGGAGCCCCTTCAGCTCCTGCAGGTGCTCTGAGGTCTCCACACAACCTTCTCCTCTCCAGCCTGAACAGCCCCCTCTGTCTCACCCTGTCCTCGCAGGGAAGGTGCTCCAGTGCTCTGATCAGCTTTGTCCCTCTTCTGGCCTTGGCCCAACAGTTCCATGTCCTTCTGTTGGGGACACAGAGCTGTGTGCAGTGCTCCAGGTGGGGCCACACAAAGCAGAGCAAAGGAGGAGAATCCCCTCCCTCACCTGCTGCCACATCTTTGGATGCAGCCCGGGACACAGGGAGCTCAGGCTGTGTGTCAGTAGGAGATCTGTGTCTCTTCCCCACTGTGATCAGTCCTGTGTTTGCTGTGGTGCCTGAGGCACAGCAGTGCTAACCCTGGGTATGTGGTGGTGCTGCTTGTTCCAAAAGTGCTGCTGCCTCCCCGTGTGGGAGCTCAGTGCCAGGCTGAGGGCAGCATCAGTGCTACCCAGGGATCAGCTCCCTTGGGACATGCCAGCAGCATGGGCTGGTTTTGGGGGTGAGCCCAGTGCGTGTCACAGCCCTTTGCAGTCCCAGTAAACCCAGTCCATCCCTGGTGATCCATGTATTCCCTCTCACAGCGCCTGACCAAACACACCAAGTTCGTGCGAGACATGATCAGGGAGGTGTGTGGCTTTGCTCCCTACGAGCGCCGAGCGATGGAGCTGCTCAAGGTGTCCAAGGACAAACGTGCTCTCAAGTTCATTAAGAAACGGGTGAGTCAGTGCAGGACCTGCTGTGCTAAGCTCTGTGTCCTGCCCTTCCCTAGGGACACGTTGGGTTTTCATTCCTTTTGTTCTCTCAGTTGTCTGGGAAGCTGCTGGCCCAGTCTGAGGGAGTGCAGTGGGTGGCAGTGGGAGGTGGACTCGAAGGTCCTTTGTCAGAATGGCTCAGGGATCCAGACTGGCACTGTTCTCTGTGGTGTGGGGAGAGGAGAGCAGCACTGCTGGAGGGTGGGGACCAGTAACCGGGTGACTCCTAACGAGGCTCCTTGAGGGCAACTGAGAGCTGAACCCAACTTCTCCCTCACCCCAGAGAACCGTGGAGATAGCACTGAGACACACAGCCAGTAGCTCCTGGCTGGGGGTCGAGTCGGTGTGTCCAGAACTGTCCATTCTGGCTGTGTTTGGAGTGAAGTGCCTGGGGCAGCCCAGGCTGTGTGTTCTGTGCTGGGGAGCACTGACAGCCCTGTCTCTCCCTGCTCTGTCCCACAGGTGGGCACTCACATCCGTGCCAAGAGGAAGCGTGAGGAGCTCAGCAACGTCCTGGCAGCCATGAGGAAAGCTGCTGCAAAGAAGGACTGAGCTGTACAGGCTGTGACACAATAAAGTCCTCTCTCCCCAGACCAGGGTAGTGTTGGTGTACATGTGCTTCAGCTGGGGATGCTGCCACGGCCCTGACCTGCAGCCATCCAAAGCCAGCACCACTGGTTATTGGACCTGCAGCTCTGGACTCTGTGGAGTTTCAGGATGTGGAAATCTGCATTACCTAAACACCTTCCACCTCCCAGTCTGTCTCCAGGCCTGGATGGAGGTAGGAGGGAAGTCAGTGGGCAGAAATTGCTGTTGAAAACAGTAACTGCTTTGCATTGGCACATCACCTGTTCCTCATGCAGCTGTTCCCCATATATCCTCCACTCACACCTGCTTACTGCAGTGGGTGAAGTCATGGGAGAGACCTGGATTGAACAAGAATTCCTGAACTACACAGGTGGAGTCTGTCCTGCACTCAGGGCTGTGAGGGGACAAGAGCTGCTCTGCCTTCACAAGGAAATACTTTTCAACTA